GCCTCGCCGCGATTACCACGTCGAGCCTCCGCTGTCCCGTTCGAGTCTCAAGGGTCGCAAACCTACACCACTCAACCCTTATCGCAAAGTACCATCGATCATCATCGACCGATGATGAGTTTCACGCTTCCATCAGACCACTGAGCTCCAGTCCGAACTGCATGCCTCTCGCTTTTTCCCCACTGAAATAGGCTCCGACTCTCTGTCGACTTACGCCGTAGCCCCTCAATCAGCACCGAGTGAAGTCTTCTTGACTCCAGCTCCACCTTCAACATGACTCCATGGTAGATGATCAATCCACCCTCGCGCCTCGTTGACTTCAAGCTCTCATGTGCACACCGTCTTGAATCAACCCCGCGCCATAGTCTTGTCAAAGCCACACAAGCCATCAGGCCTACGCCACATGTTTCCACACCCCAGAAGTCGGTCACCATCAGCATCACGCTCCAATGTCGCTGTCGCCGATCCACCACCATCTTCTGTACCAACCAACTTGCGTTGATCCGTCAAACTGTCCAGGCCAACTGCCCTTTGTGTCTGACCTAAGCCGAACATTCTTGACTACAACCATCTGCAACTCCTCACAACCCTCATCGTCCATCTTAACTGGCTTGACATCCTGCAACGCCTTCAAGCATCCTTGTTGTGCCAGCAAATTTTCACCCTTGTCCGTCATAGCCCAAGGTTTTGAGTTATGTCAAACTTCTCCACCTCAAACCTGATACCATTGGCGCCAGATTCTTCGTACGACTAACCCTGTGAAAAAACAACTGAGCTTCCTTCCACGATGCCAAAGTACACGAAGCAAACCTATGTGCTCGCCTCCCAGTAGTAGTAGCAATTTCACGTGGTGTAGCTCCTGGCTCAATCCCAATGCTAGCTTGCTTTGTCCTTCTGATGGATTTTCCTTGGATCTGCTTAGGCTACCTTGATGGTGCACATCTACCATTCGGACTCGGTCTTTTTTTGTCAAAACAAATCTCCTTGAGTATATCAATCGAACCTGCATCACAGACCTTCCGCGCCTGGTCCACCAGCACAACACGTCCACGCACCAACTAGCCTCGTTGGGCCAGCCCACACCGCGTGCACTTCGGCTTCAGATAAAGGCATGCCACGCGCGTGTGTCTGCTTGCCTGATCGATCCTGATCGACCGCCGCACGTCCTTGCTGCTGCAACGCGCATGCAAGCCTTCTGCCGATCCGATGCCTGCTGCAACTGCTGCTTTCGATCTTGCTGAGAACTCCGTAGGCTTCCGATTACCTCTTTTTCAATCTTGTCGAGAACCACATCGCATCTGGCTGCATCTCGAACTTGATACTTCCTCTGAATCAACAATCCATGGCCTCCGAACAAGCAAGCTCATGATACCACTTGTGAGAATAAATCCAAGGCATAATGTTGATCATCCGAGGACCAAGCAATTACACGAGCACGACACCAAGATTTGTTAACGAGGTTCACCGATATGGCTACATCCCCGAGGCCTGACTATGGTGCTCCTCCCCATGACACCGTCACAATACCGCACATCGGCCACCCGGGCGCCGGCACACGCCGTCGGCTCCCCCTTGCGCGCCTGTGCTATTATGTTGGCATAGGTTACATCGTGTGTCTACCCCGCTATATATGAGAGGCTTAGGATACAAGTGTCCTACTAGGACACGACTCCACATCCTATGTAAACACAATACAACTCATAGTCCAACTATAACCTACCTTATGCACTATATTCGACACAATTCCAACAGTAGCAAAGCGAGCGAAGTGCAGGACGCGGGAGCAAGGAAGCGTCCGGCGGCGCTCCATCTCCGCGCGACCGCGGAGCTCAGGGTGGGCTAACGAGACGTGTGTTAGAAAGAAGGAAAGTTAAGGTACTATACGTTCTCTAACTTTCTACCGCCCGGTCACTAACTGGTCACGTTTTTTCCACCTAGACAGACGCCTCAAACAGGCCTCAAACGCCCGAGCTGACCAACACCGCCCATATCCAGCCCAAGTATGGGGTAGATATGGGGCGCCCGGGCACGCCCGCCATGTCGGACCCGGCCATGCTGGCCCACCCGACCTCACTTATATTCGGCCTCATTCGCTCGCCAGAGCAAACCCTAGCCACTTTGCTCCACTCCCCTCCCCTCCGCCACCCAAACTCATCTCCAGCGCTATCTCCGGCATGGCGGGCAGCGGATCGGGCTCCGACTAGTCCGGATCCGTCCACTGGGGTGTCATTCTGTGTGGGTTGGAGGAGGCAATGACAGTCCGCATTGCATTTCGCCGCTCCCGGGAGGACAGCGCCTGACCGACTAACGGATTCATCCGCCACAACGCCATAGCATCGACTCACCGGGCCTCGGGTCCTCTGGTGCTGGATCCTCGCGGTCCTGGCAGCCGGAACACCTCTCCTTCCCCATCACCGGTCAGGCAGACTATGAGTCCCACCAGGAACGGGCGGCCCACCATGGGAAGGAGAGGATAAGGGCCGCCGAGGCCCATATCACGATGGAAATGGCGGCAGCACGGGTGGCCGCAGAGGAGGAAGCAATCCCATCCGCGCCCGCATTATGAAGAAACGGCAGCGGAGGGACACGCCGCCCTCGCCCGAGAGCAGAATCAGGCGGTTCGTGCCATGGCCGGACTGCCACCAAAGGAGGACAGCGATGTCGAGGGCAGCTCCGACGACGAGCAGACTCGGCTCGATTCGTACTGCGTCTTCGACCGGTACTTCCGTGATAAGGACGACAAGGGCGTCGGGAAGGGCAAGGGCAGCCGTGGATGAACTCCACCATAGCCAAACATGCCAAATTTTGGTAGTCCGATAGCATGTTTAGTGTAGTGTGATAGAGTAGTTGGACGATGCGTGTGCGTCGACGTAGTTGCATGTGTTTGTATTAATTTGAGATATGGTAATTGAGGTGTCCAGATGTAAATTACATTTTTTGAGGGGTGCCCGGTCAGTGCCCACGGACGCCCCCGGACGCGTCCGCTGGCATTTGAGGGTCCAGATTTGCCAAGTCCGGCTGTAGATGCTCTTAGTACATTTTTCTCCAAGCATTTTGCAATCTCTTTTATCTTAGCGGCATAGTGATGACTTTGTTACAAAGGTCTAACTATCTACGATGCTTGAGTTATTTACCCAAAACCATCACACTTGAGGATAGGGTAATAACTTGGTACCACATTTGTGTCGGGGCACAAAAAATCACCAACTATGCGACTAATTAGTAACGCAGAGCACTGATGCTCGGATTTGGTTGCCAAAACAGCCAAACCGACAAGTAGGGCCCGCATGTCAGGCTGACGTGGCATGTTTATGTGGACAATATGCTGAGTTGGACCAAGGTCCCACCTGTCAATGACTGAAGTGTTTTCTCCAATCCCTTCTTCA